AACTCAATCTCAAACACGATGTTAGACTGACTTACCCCTTTTTCCTCTTCTTGCGTTTGTAAACAGCTGCAATGCAAAGAGCACAACCCAACAGGAAGAGCACTACGAGAATTGAAAAAAGAAAGAAACGGCAACTGGGAAATGAAGTTACACAAAACATACCATTTTGCCCAGATATAAGAAGCACCTTGTACAGTGCTGGAACTGCCTCACTATCAACAGACCATCTCTGACAGCCTATAATGATGGAGGAGCCCTTTCCTTTGCATCCCTGATCAAAAAGCACAAGTGTTCATTTCTGCATCCAGAAACTGGTGCTCAGTCTCAAGCTGACAAATAAAAACTGGTAGCAATCATAAAAATCATAGAAAAGCAGGGACCACAGAGCTCAACTACTTCTCAAGGCAGATCATCCCTACCTAAGTCATCCTACATGAGTGTTTGTCTAACACAGTGGTATCCCTCAGATAATGCTAGCTCTTAGTTTTCACTCTGGTTTTGACTACAGAAAAAAAAAAACAGTTTATTTCTGTTGCAATGAAATGGAAGACCACAACTATGGATTCCTATTGGAAATGTCTGGCTTTATCTTGTGACTCATATTGCAAACCCAATGGTCCTAACATTGTACGGCATCCTTGAAAGGATCTCAAGGCACCACAGGATGCCATGGCACCCTGGTTAAGAACACAAGTTTAAGCTGTTCTTAAAAACTTTGGGAACAAACTCACCGGACTATCAGACATAATGCCCAAAACATCAAAAATTCCCGTGGACTTGTCACAGGTAAAGCAAAGGGAGGAGGGACACGGTAGGTTTTAAAAACTGAAGAGGTGTGACCCTGAGTGGGGTTTCTGTCCCTCCCATCAAATCATTTCAGATAAAACCATGAACGGGTATAAACTGTTACATGGCAACACTGGGCACAACGGTATATCAATAGCAGAGAAACCCAAGAACTCCCATACCAGGGGCGTTACTTGTTACACCAAGAAACCCCCCAAAACCAACTCAACTTCGTTGTGGCGAAAGAGCAACATGGACTCTGAATATTGATGTACAATAAGCGCTTCAGCATCTGGAAGTATTTTTCACTTTGAGGTTACTTACAAACAAGAATTATTTCAAGTGCATGTCCTAAAGGGGAAAACCAAAAGAGAGTTAAAACATGAAGCCATGCTTATTATCAGCAGTTTGCAAAGAATAACACAATAATGCACACATGTGGTACAATATTTTGTACACTAGATTATATCAAAATAATGATAAATATAATAATGTAGTCTTTTGAAACAAAACAGTGTGAATTGGACAATTGTTAGTTAGTGGGAGCCATGTTCCAACTGCTGGAACGTCTAGCAATGAAGAAAATTTCTTTTCCTAAGCCTCCGTGTATGTGTACTCTTTAACACAGTCAAGAAAGCCGTGAAACAAGAAAAGGTTCAAGGTTTTTGGTTCTGTGAAGAAATGCACATTAAGGAATATTGTCTATAATCTTCTATGCTCCTTTTCTGACCGGGGTAAGGTCATCCAATGACACAAACGTGGTGCTACATTTTCTGAACAGCTTTGCTGGGTCCAGTGAATAAATAAATGACTATAGCAGCACCTGCTCTAACCGCACTTCACTTCTCCAGGGTTAGGGTGAGCCTTTGAAAGGTGTGCTAAAGGGTGTCAGCTGCAGGGACAGGTGGACAGGGACAGCTGCAAGGACACACACACACACATACACACATGCACACCAGAAGCGGAAAAAGGAGCAATAGCCAATCCACTCTGGTCACAGGAACAGCCAGTGCATTATCAGTCTGGCTGCCTTGCATACTGCAGGCCAGAACTATTTTTTGGAGGAGGCGGAAGACCTCTAACAATGCCACAGTTTGTAGAGTGGGTGAGAAAATTCAAGAAGAGCTCCCTGCTGTTATTAACCAAGTGCTGTGACTTGTCACAAGCTAGTAAAGCTCAGTAGACACACTTCTATCCTCTCTGAATGTTGCATTCCTCAAAGAGCATTTCTGTTGAAGACTGGAATTACAAGAAGGTCAGCTGGAAAAAGCCAACTCTGTCTAAGATCCCCAACAAAGGGGAAAAGAGTTGGCCACGGGAATAGCCTAACTAACTTTGTGTTGCAACATAGCTTGGGCTACTTCTCCATCTCACAAGAGAGAAAATAATGGATCAAGATCAGGGCAGCATGAGAATCCCTTGGAAAAGGGCTATGAAAGAAGGGCATACCAGAACAGCTGATTAATGCACAATGAGAGAGGTAGGAAAGCCAAGAACACTCAAGGAGGGCAGTGCTTAAGAAAGGTGTGCCAAAGGGTCACAAGTAGCTGCGAGAAGGACAATTAGCAACCCTAAAAATTGTCCATGAAGAAGATGTCACTTAAAACAAGCCAAAAAAAATATCCCTGAATGGCTTGACATCCCAGCAGACTTCACCATACACACAACCCATCCATGAATATATTCATGAAATACACAACTTATTTTACAGCTGCAAACCTCAGAACATATGGAGTCAGTAAAAGGATTTTTTTTTTTTTTTTTTTTACCTGATTTAGGTTGAGCATCTTCTTCTGCTGAGTTTTCCCTCGGCCCTACATAACATGAGACATGCAGGTAAGTACATTAAAATGAAGAGATGATATATGTCTAATCACAGTTGCCCAGCACCCAAATGCACCTCCTCTCTATCTCCCTTTCACCTCAGTTAAATCCACAGAGCAAAAAAGGGTCATTCCAGAGCATCAACACAGACTCAGACAGCCTACAGAAATGCATGGTTTCATTTTCCTGGGGTAGACACCATGCAATCTCCACTAATACGCACCTTTGAAAGGCAGCTCTGTCTTCCTAATGATCACTCTCCAGTGCCATTTCATCCAACCTTTACACCCCCAGATGCAGAATTTCTTTGTGGATACTTCCAACATCTTTTGCCTTGGGGACTCAAAACCCATCAGCTACTGATGGGGCATGGCACCAGTAAAGGCCATACGGCGTGCTCACGGGGGTACAGGATCTCTTCATTACACTGCTCCCTTCTCCCTAGGGGTTTCACAGTTCTGGGCCCACTCACTTGTGGCAGGAGTTCACCACTACCTTCACCATCAAGTGCTAAACCCTCCCAAGCTCAACATTTGGAGTCAGTAAAAGGATTTTATTTTTTTTATCTGATTTAGGTTGAGCTGCTTCTTCTGTTGAATTTGGCCCCGGCCCTACATAACATGAGACATGCAGGTCAGTACATTTTTAGGGCTGTGATTCAGGTAGATTGAACAGTCCACGCTGAGCTGCTTCAAAGGACAGACTTTTCCAGTATGTGATTTAAAAAAACATGCCCAGTGCTTGCCCCTCCACACACACATTTCAGGGATAAAGTACTCATTATATTAATATAAGCATTTGGTTAATTTTCTATTTGGAATGTGGAATGAAAACTGGAATTAATGTCACCACCACAGCAAGCATTCTCTGCTTGAAGCACCTGCATATCTGCGTGTTTCCAGGTTAAGCAGACCCTGTACTGATGACAACGGGCCCAAAAGGTATTTCACACTAGAAAGCAGAGAACAGGGCTGAAGTAAAAGGCAGGAGGCCCAGACCTTGCTGCTCACATAGGCTACTATACCAGTGAAGACACAAAGACAACCAAAAGCTACTCACTGGTACAAAACTCTGGTGGGTTTGACCATGTGAAATCTTCAAGACAAGTCCTGGTTGAATCCTGTCCTGGAACCCTGTCATACCCGTCACGACAGACATAATGGACACGTGACAGACATAACGGACAGTGGTCCCCATGGGATAGAAGCTCCTCTTCACATCCTCTTCTGATACTTTACCAAATGGTAAGCCTCTTGGGGCAGGACAGCTACCTGACAGCAAACAACAGACAGACAAGGACCAAACGATGTAGCTGCAAGACGGATTTAAATACAGCTTGTGCTTTTAACTTTCTGCAGCGCAAACACGGGCAGGATGCTTCACGTGCTCCTGGCTCTGCAGCATGAGCCAAGTGTGCTGGACAAGTCTCAAGCTCCACAAGCTCACTGGCTTGTTGCAAAGGCAGGTTAAACTGTCACGGAGGGATCATGGGGAAGGGATTTTTACTGTCCCGATAAAGGAAGAGACACGAGTGGTTTTGACAAAAGGAGCAAGGAGGGAGGTGGCATCCCAAGCACAAGTGACACAAAGGAAGGCGGAAAGGAGGACAGGAAGGGAGTTGAGTGAGAAGGAGGCCTGGGAAGAACAGAGCACACAAATATACTTCCTTTCTTGCCTTCAGCCCCTAAATTAATTAGTCTTTCTGCTCCTAACCACTGCACAGCCTTCTTCTCCACGTCCACCTCTAAACTTGCCCGGCAGGGCAACGTTACAGAAGAGAAAAGGCTACAACCCTCAAAGCCCAGGAAAACATTCACAAGGGAAATATCTGCATTATGATCCACTTCTGCTTGTCTAGACTGTCTTCCTGAATGAAAACGAATCATGACCTATTTGGCTGGGATGATCTAGTTGGGGCTAGTCCTGCTTTGAGGAGGGGGATGGACTAGCTGTGTGAGTAGGGGACTGGACTAGCTGTGATCTCCTGAGGTCCCTTCAACCCCCATTTTCTGCGATTCTCCGATGCTGCCTCACGACACCTTTACGAGTTCCCACTGAGTGCACTTTCCTGATGGTCTCATGCTTCAGCCTCTTCAAACTTTGCTTCTTTTAGGCTCTTCTTCCATCCCACCGCCCTTCATTTTGATCCTCACGCACTGCTTACTTTCATAAATTGATAAGTAGCCCCATTTACTGCACTACATACTAGCCACGAAAACGAGTAGTAAGTCTCCAGCAAGCAGGTTCATTCTGTGTTCCCACTGCCATTCCCAGGACCTCAGATCTAACTATTAAAGCTGGTGTTGAGTAGACCTATTCAGCGGAGGAAGTTTCACAGTTTCAGAAGCAAGAAACGGCCAGAAAATTTCAGAAAGCAAAATAACACTTACGGCCACACAACGCTGGCAGCTCTGTCCACTCGAGGCTGGGCAGGCACTCTACGGTGTCTGACCTATCCGGGATTTTAAGAAAACCTTCCAGGCATACATAGGTGACCCTTGTGCCAACCGGGAAGCTCTCAGAGAGATAAGAAGGGCCCGGCTTGGCTCCCCTGATACTTGGCAGAGGCCCACATTGGACTGTAAGAAAAAAAAATGTTCTCTTTAAAACTGGCAGCGCTTCGTTTATATGTCGCACAGCTACCTTCATCCCAAAGGACCCCGAAGTGAATAAGATGCTGAAGCCATGCAACTCTCATTTTAGGCCTGTTTTTCCAGTGTCTAAGCAGGCAGACAGGCTTCCCACAGCCAGAGGTTTCAACCAACACCAGTGGTGGTCTGCACTGGAGTTTGCCTAGCAGGAAGGAGGAAGGAGGACCCAGGAAACTATAGGCCCGTTAGTCTTACCCCGGTCCTGGGGAAGTTTTTTGAGAAAATTATCCTGGCACAAGTCCGCGAGGGGCAGCAGGGAAGATGATGCTTAGGGGCAACCAACAGGGGTTCATTAGTGGCAGGTCCTGTCAGACCAACCTGGTGGCCTTCTATGACCAGGTCACCAAATCCCTGGATGCAGGTGTCCTGGTGGATATAGTCTTTCTGGACTTTAGGAAGGCCTTGGACGTGGTCTCTTACCCAATTCTCATTAAAAAACTAGGAGCCTGCGGCACTGACACCGACACAGTCAGATGGGTCACCAACTGGCTGGAGGGCCGCACCCACAGAGTGGTGGTGGACGGGTCATTTTCAACCTGGAGGGATGTGGGCAGTGGGGTCCCGTGGGGCTCGGGCCCCCACTGTTCAACATCTTCATCAGCAACTTGGACAAAGGGGTAAAAAGCACCCTGTGCAAATTCGGAGACAACACTAAGATGTGGGGAGAGGTGGGCACGCTAGAATGGACGAATAGGCTGCAATCGGACGTAGACAGGTTACAGGGGTGGGCGGGTGAGAACTGGATGGGTTTCAACACTGACAAGTGCAAGGTGCTGCACCTGGGGAGGGAGAACCAGCAGCACACCTACAGGCTGGGGAACTCCCTTCTCCTCAGTGCAGAGGCAGAAAAGGATCTTGGAGTCATTATTGATGCCAAAATGAACATGGGCCGACAGTGTGGGGATGCGGTGACGAAGGCCAACCGTACCTTGTTATGCATCCACAGATGCAACTCGAGCAGGTCCAAGGAGGTGATCCTCCCTCTCTACGCGACACCGGTCAGGCCACAGTGGGAGTACTGCGTCCAGTTCTGGGCACCGCACTTCAAGAGGGATGTGGACAACATGGAGAGGGTCCACAGGAGGCCACCCGCATGATCGGGGGCAGCAGGGCAGGCCCTACGTGGAGAGGCTACGGGACCTGAACCTGTTCAGCCTTCACAAGAGAAGGCTGAGGGGGGATCTAGTGGCCATTTACAAACTGGTCAAGGGGGACCAGCAGGTATTGGAGGAGTCCCTGTTCCCCCAGCACTACCAGGAGTGACTAGAAATAATGGTCACAAGCTGGCAGAGGGTAGATTCAGACTAGACATCAGGAGGCGCTACTTCACAGTCAGGTTGGCTAGGATCTGGAACCAACTTCCAAGAGAAGTGGTGCCGGCTCCTACCCTGGGGGTCTTCAAAAGGCAGCTGGATGAACACCTGGCTGGGATCATTTGACCCCAGTACTCTTTCCTGCCACAGCAGGGGGTCAGACTTGACGATCTGCTCAGGTCCCTTCCGACCCGACCAACTATGAAACTATGAGCGAGACTGATCCTACTGCAGAGTACCAGAGCTGCACGGTGGGGCTGGCTCAGTAGCCCCAAGTGGCCAAGTGCCCACTGCAGGACCAGCTCAAGGGCCAGCCACACCCCGCCCTCCACCTCTACCTGCAGCCAGGTAGCTAGCCAGCATTTCAAGTCCTGCTTTGCCCCAGAACCCACAGACGCTGGGCTCAGAGGAACACAATAGTCGTCTTGCTCCCCCCCACAAGCCCCAGGTTCACCTGGGCTCTCTTAGGGCTGCTTTTAGTTTAGACTTTGCATAAAGAAAGGAGCTTAGTGTCAGGAGAGACGAGCAGTCCACTCCTCCATAATGAGGCCTAGACAGGTGTGCTGCACCACACACACAGCAGCACCAAACCCATCAGACAAAGCAGGTGGCGTTAAAAGCCGTCACCTTGAAATTATGCCTTTTCTCTCCTAGAAACATTTCAAGTGCTGCCTCCTAGCACACGAGTGACAACGCCATTGGTCTACAGACTCATTTCATAGGTTGTTTCTACTTGCACAGGTCACGTGTTGGCACAGGAGGCCAACCATCCTGCGGCAGCCACTCAGTGCTATCCCATGTACCACTTCAAAAAGGAGAGTAGACAGCCAATAATCACCTGGGTCACAGATTGGCACAGAAGGGTTCCAGGTGTTATCCTCTGCGCATCGAATCACACCATCACCACCTCCTCTCAGGGAGTAGCCAGGATTGCACTCAAATATTATTGTGTCTCCATAGGAATAGACAGCGACTGATCCAAACTTTTTTTTCCCATGTGGAACCACCGGGGCTGGACACTTCACCTCTGGAAATTAAAGCATTGACAAGTGTTTTGCAGAGGGAGGAGATTATGGGCGAGAAGGGAAGGAAAGGAAACGAGTCCATACTCTGGCCAGGAAAATCACTGCAGAGTCATTTACCTATTAGACATTATGTGGTGTGATTTAAGGATCTTTGAGCAACACTGAAGAAACCAAAAATGCAGCAAATGCAAGAGGCAATCTACTTCCCAGGACGCACACTGGTAATGCATCCGTCACTCTACGTGAATTAAGTTTCCCAATGGTACCTAGGTGCTTATTCCCTGACTGACTTCCTCAACATTCATGAGTTGTCTGTCTAATTAAATATGGGTTTTTCCTGGTGGGGAAAGGTGAGCAAAGGCAACAAGAGCAAGATACAAAACACAAGAGTTACCTTTACACTGAGGGGCAGGGCTCCAGACACCACTGAGGTTATCTTCTGTGGTACAGAGAATGGAGGCCTCTCCAACCAGACTGAAACCACTCTTGCATGTATAAGTCACTGAAGAGCCAAAGACATAGTCTTCCCCCTCACCAGAATGTGCTCCATTGGCGACTTCAGGGGGTGGCAAACAAGGGATTTCTATAGGAAAGTGCACCAAGGTGAATACTGGATGAAAATACCCAGGTAACGGTGAACTGAGAAGATGTTACTAAGCAGCAAAGACTTCCATCAGCAGACCACAAAACAACTGGTTCAGGAGTACCACTGATATCCCCAGAACATACCCAAGACCATACGATGATAGAAACAAGTAAAATGGTAAATACCCACTTAAAATGCATTTAATTTGTGCAGTGAAGTCGGAGGAGAGACAGGACTACCTTGATTAAATGCAATGGTGACCATTTCAAGAATGGCAACCATTAGGTTATGAAAATGAAAAGGGAACCATCCTCTGTCCCCTACATGCCACAATAGTAGGTAGGTGCCATTCGACCTGGTGGAGGTATGTGGTGTGCAGCCATGTCACGTTTGAAGGAAGTCAAATGCCTTTGAAGCGCTCCAAGGGTGACCCAGACAGACGTGCCTCTTGAAGTGCTCTGGGACCAGCAGGACTGCCCCAAAAGCAACTCTAATGGAAACCATTACTACTTAGGAGCACGTCCAACTGAAACACTTCCTGCTACCTGTGTTGCAAGCAGCTAAGGCGGCCAGACCTTAGCCCTGCATGGGTTGTCTTCATCCCTGGTTTCCTCCATGAAGTACTTATTAAGTTTAAAGAAACAACAGAGCAAGTATAAACACAAAGCCTTTAATCCCTGTGTTTGCTTCATTAAACTGGGCAGCAAAGGGGAAACATTCAGGGGATAGTTACGTGCCCCAAGTGGGAAAGAAGTTACATGGCTTAGATTTTTGTTGTACTATAATGATTGCACAAGATAACCAACCACCCGTTACCACACAGGTAGTCATGCAGGTGTGCCCTACGTTACTACCTGGGTAGGTGTATCCATTACATGGCGCTTTATTAACCTGTCACCCTGGTAGACGTGTCACCTACCTTCCAGGTGTCATCTGCAATGGTGTTGAACACCTGGCGCTGTGGGAGGAGGACAGTGGCACCCTGTATCAGCGAGCACTTCCCTGTCAGCTCCACCTCTGCTCCTCCAGAGCACATCCCCTTCTCACTGGAATCGGGAGGTCCCACGTCCTCCCCACTACAGCTAGGAAATCCTGGAACTGGGAGACCAGAGCCCCATGTTCCCTCCCATGGATCGGGGATTCCTGCTCTCCAGCCCCCAATCCCAGTGTCCCTCCCCACACCCACTGGCCTGGCTCTGCTAGCGGGGTGGCACAGGGCTGCAGCAGAGCAGACAGAGCAGAGAGGAGCGCTCTCACTGACACTGGCTCCACATCCCCCTGCTGCAGTGCACCTGCACTGTGAAGTGCTCCAAATGTTACATCCATCCCTATCTTGAGATGATTAATTCAAAGGCAGCATGTCTTGTACCATGGCAAATCTGAAACGAATCTATTATTCACTCCTCCCCAACAAGGTTTGGAGACACGTACGGCTCAGTAGAAAGGAACAGTTCTCTACTCTACAGTTACTGTGGTGCTTTGTGAGGTCTTGGCCACTGTATTCTACGTCACAGGTGTGAATGCTCACGGGTGTGTAAGACCATCGTGTACTGGGGCCTACACCTGTGCCCAGGCTCCCTTTATCCCCCTATGGCACAAAGAAGAGAGAGAACAGCTCCAACTGCTCTTCGGTTCCTTCACCAGACACAAGCCCACTTGTATCTAGGGCAAGTCAAAGACATTACATGTAATCATCTTACTTTTACAGGAGGGAAACTCGCCATCCCAACGAACATTGCTTCCGACATCGAGCACACATCGAAGAGAATGGCTGCCAATTAATCTGTACCTAAAGACAGAGCAAAGGTTCCGGTTTCTTACACAAATGTATGAAGAGCTAGGTAACTGTTAGCAAAGATGGGCAGCCAGCTCTTTTTGCCAGAGTGGAGAAACCATTGAACAATCCCAAATATAAAACAAGATGTGGCTAAGGCCCAAGGAACACGAAGGAGTAAGAAACACCCAGTTGTTACTGCTAACGCGCTTCTATGCTTGCCAGAACATTAGCTGGGAAAACCCTGTGCCTCCGTTCTCTCCCAGAGCAGAGTCGCATACTTTCTAATCCCTTGCTGAGGGCAATAAGCAGCTCTTCTACCAAATTAGAAATGTTTTCTCTTTATTCTTCTCATTCCCAAAGTGCTGAATTAGGGCAGCTGGTTGGTCCCTGCGGTGGGATCTGACCAAAGCCCAGGAAGCTAACAGCACTGTGAGCCAAACAGCAATCGCCAAAAGGTTCAGACTTGTCTCAGGTCTCTAAAGTGTTGTTAACACATTACACTTAGACCATACTAAGGGCATCTAAAACATTAGCACCTGTCTGTTAAAGCTTTCTAACTCATGCTAAGTGCCCTCAAAGTTATGCCACTTCAGTTGAGGCTTAACCCTGGGCTGCACTACCTAACTCGTGTTAGGGTAGTTTCAGTCTGCTTAGCCCTATGGGCAATGGGGCCTGGTCTCCCTTCTCCAGAGGCCTGTCCTGAAGACTTCTCTTCTACCAGAACAAGCCACAGAAATTAAACAAAAATCCACATCGCCTGCACGGGCACAAACCAGTCATTGTGGAAACGCAAAGCCTTCCATTACATTACCACATCTGGAAGTGCCTGTTTTGTGCAAGAAAGCCAGAAGCCACTGAGACATGACCCATGTGGAAGAAAAAAAACAATAAGTGCCCTCAACACTAGCCTGAGCAACTGCTGAATCCTACAAGGGATGTCCACAACTTCTTTTGTTTCTCCTGATTGCTCATTTTAGAAGTAGCCTTACAGTTCTAATGAATAATACATGAAACAAATAAAATCACCATTGGCAAAGACTTGTGCTCGGAGCAGGAAGAGGTCTGCATTCATCTGCTGCTAACTTTTAGTCCATGTAATGGCACTAGGCGTAAGCAATAGCTAGACCCTATTAGGGGAGAGGTGGCACTGGTCACAGGAAGCCAGGTGAACCCACTCCCACTCCATATGTGAGGCTTCCCCCCATCACGCACAATCCACCACCTGATGAGCCTGGGTTGCTCTGGCAAGAGAGACCGAGTGCAGTGGTGCCCCCCACCCCTACTGCTGTCTGCTTGACCAGCCTCCTCCAGCTCTTACTGGGGCGCACCCCTGCTGTCCATCAGCACCAGCCCCAACTCGGCTTCTAAAACCCAGCCAGGTTTTCTAGTCTCTCCCTGCCCCCAACTCCCCTGCAGTTCACCGCCCACTTTCTACAAACCAACATTCAATTGATGAGTCAGTACAGGTGACTTGACGTACCCGGCAGAACAGGTAAAGTTGACTCTCGCACCCAACCGGAGATCAGTTACAATAGGCTGACCATTCGGTATGTCTGGAGCTGGGCACTGTTTTGCTGGAAGAGAGCAAGGCTGGCATTAGCTGTGCTTCACGTTATCTTGGTGGAAAGGAAAATGTGCACTGTTCAACTCAGTAAAACATAAGAAGTGACATACTAGACAGACCAATGGCCCATCTAGCCCAGTATTTCTGTCTCCAACAAAAGCAGAAATAGATGCTATCATGGAGAGCTTTGAACCAGATCTCTCCAGAGTGATTACCCTCTCCGGCATCGCATCATTATTGGTTTAGAGATGCTAGACAACACCACTCCAACCATGCTGTTCAATAGCCGCTAATAGATCTATCATCCCTGAATTTATTCATGCCCTTTGTGAACCTGGCTATGCTGTCTGCTTCTCTCTCTATCTGTTCTTATCCCAAATGATGTAAAGGTGGCCTGCAGGTCAATTGAGACAGAACAGCAGAGATACTAACCCACACAAAACTCGGAGGGTTGTGACCAGGTAGCGTTATCTTGACAAGTAATGACAGGAGACTTTCCACCAACACGAATGAAACCTGGACGACAGCTATAGGTCACTTCAGTCCCAATGCGATAGGAATCCAAACTTGTGACTAGCTCAGCAAAACTTCATCTGGGAGGGGGTGCACAATCGCCTAGAAATAAAACAGAAAAAAGGATGAAAAACTAATCTATGAAGAAGTACACAAAACTATCTGCTACAGTAGAACACAACTTGTTTTCGCAAAGCCACATTTTCTCTCTTCTGCAACCGCTGCGACGGTCTTGTTCTCATCAGAGTCTTGGAAGCAGTTTTGCTGAATACCTGCAATACTTGGACATGTTAGCTTATAAAGTGACCATCACCAAGTGTGTGCCCATATAAGCAGATCCTGGGAAACAAGTCAGATTGCTTACCCCGACCGTCTCTTTTTTTTTTTTGCACAAGCACCCATGACACAAATTTTGTCTGTCAGCAGCCAGAGGTGCAGGGCCCAGAAGCCCTGCACCAATCTCCTCGACAGTTGACAGGCGTCGTGGCCACAGCAGGGGCCACCATCCCTGCAGCTGTCACCCTGCTCCGCCTTAACACACACAGGGTCACCCATGGCATGAGTTTTGATTTTCTGCAGATTGACGTGCAGTTTCCCCAAACCTCTGCACGTATCTCCTTGAAACTTGGCAGGCTTGGTGGCCTTAGCAGGGGCCACCATCCCTGCAGATTTCATGTGGCTTAACACATATCTGTGGCACGAGTTTTTTTTTCAGATTTTGGGGTGCAGTTTCTCCAGACCCCCTGCACCTACCTCCTTGAACCTTGGCAGGCTTTCTGGCCCCAGCAGGGGCTAGCATGCCTGTAGTTCTGTCCCTGCTGTGGCTTAATACATACACATGACACAATGTGGGTCTCAAGAATTTGGGGTGCACTTTCTCCAAAGCCCCTGCATCTATAAATTTTAAACTTGGCACGCTTTATGCCCTTAGGAGGGACTAACATTTCTGAAAGCTTTATCTAAATATGGCCAGAAATGATGAAGTTATAGGCTGTTTAACCTTCCCCAGTATATCCTATGGGTGAAACATCCAAACATCGTTGAAATGGTGAAATGTTTCGACTTGCCTGATTCTGTTTCGAGGCTGCTTCAACCATATCTGTTCCATTTCGTTTTTACAGTTTTGACTTCAAAACAGAGTCGAAACAAAAGTGGTGGTGAAATTTCGACAGCCCTATTCCACACCCACCTCTAACAACCTTCCTGCCACAACAGATAAAACAAAGACCAACAAAAAAATCTAACTGGACACTTCCCAGGAGACAGAACTACACACTGAACTACTATGTTGACTGTTTCAGGAAGAAAGCTAACAGTGTTATCTTCAACAAAAACAGGACCACCGCAGCCTTCTTTCCCCAAACCCATCATCTCTAGTATCCAAGAGAAGCTATCGTCATCCTCAACTGTCAAGCCTACATCAGTACCGCAATAAAAACTGAATCTATCCCAACCATTCAGGTGATCTAATAAAAAAAACCACCCCCCAAACGTCTTGCCTCTCCCAGATATACTTAGCCTGGACTGTGTATCAAGTCAAAGTAAAACACGTGCATAAATAAACTCTATGTAAGGCAGTGACAGTTGTCTTACCTTCGCAAGTAGGGAGTTGGCTCCATGCGACGTCCCTTCCTTTCAGCCTGCACGTGATGTGTTTCCCAGATAACCGATACCTGGAGAGGAGGGGGTGGCAAGGAAACCTTTTATTTAGTGCCCTAGTTTCTCCTATAACTCTAGAAATTTAAATATCCATTCCTTTCTGTCACTCAGTGAAGATGTTAACAAATGAACAAGGTTATTCTTGCTAAAGCAATGCTCTCATTTGAAGCCAATTTACAACTGCCAGAGAGGTCGCTGAAGGACTGGAGAGATCAGGTAGCAATAGATTTATTTCCCCTTATAGTTTGTACTAACACAATGCTTTAAAGTTTCATGGCCATATCTTTCTTCTCTCCCAGATCCTTCTTCTTTACAGTGAAGGGCACTCCTCCTTTCCTTGGGCTCTGTGGGCTCTGAAGACATAGCCAGCCACCCCACGTTTATCTGGACTTCAGCAAGGGAATCTAATTCTTACTGTAAGGCAAACCACCCCAGGGCATGTTGCACTGAGAAGTAAACCACGGCAATCACCACGACATCTGGCATCATACCTGGCATGCTAGTTAACCGTAATGGGCAAGAACCTATTTTATCTATACGGCCCCAAACATCATCCTATTCCACCCTGCTTGCATCACTAAAAACCACTGAATGCAGCTTCTGTAATGTGTTGTCATCTTAGCTCTCAGTTTATGCCATAAAAAAATGGAGGAGAAGGATAAGCCACCTGCCTTCTGCTTTTCATGGGTTGAACAGGTCTGCACTGAGGTGCTTAAGTCACACTGGGAGCATCTACCTGTTCATTAATGCACCGTAGTTACTACGGATTACGTTTAGTGCTTGTATAACCAAATACTAAAATCAATGGTGCTCCTGTGCAGTAGTGCTGGCACATGGCTTTCTGGTGACACTAACTGCTCAGTAGCGTAATATTACTGTGCAGCAGCATATTAGCACAGTTTTTGCCCTGCACACTACGGCGCGGTAGCATTAGGCTCCTGTGCAGTCAGCGTCTCGGGTAGACGCACCCACTGTTACCAAATGGGAGGAATAGGACCTGGACCAAGAGGCTCAATTATTCTGAGGCCTGGTAACCACCCCCTACACCCAAAGGTAAATTGAACCAATGAAATCCATTATCTTGAATTGCCCTTCACCACCATATCCTACACTTGGCCTATTTCTGTTGGGATGTTTCCTTTCCAAAAAAGCCCCCAAAGCTCATGGGTAGAATCCAAGCACCTGTGCTAGGAAAGCTGTTCAAGGTGCCTAGAGCAGGCAGCAGTTCTTCACTAAGTCCTGTGACCTAGCTGGCATCCGTTCCCAACACTCACCCCTCATCACACACTACGCGTACTGTGTCAAGATACAGGGTCCGTGTTGTATCAGCAACTCTGCCGTGCTCCGGTGCTTTTGGAACTCCACAAGATTTCTCTAGTGGGACGCAGGATGAGTGTTAGCACATGACGCGGATGGACAACCCCCCAATATATCTGCATCAGATTATGGTAAAGTCAGATCAACTACCCAGATTGTTAAAATGTTGTACATTTGCTTTATTCCTATTTCATTAAGACATGAACACTTTTATCATCCATGTCACATGTCTAATCAGATGGCTTTGTCAGCTTCTATGACAGACTCCCCTTGTCTCTCACATTAAGTTATCTGCAATGCTTTCTTCACCAAACATGCCTATTACCATAGAGCACACTTCAAACATTCACAGTCTCTGCACACACATCTAGAAATGCAGTGGGCAATGTGGAACCTGGGAAAACATTGCTCCACCCGACACACACATGGATTAAAAATAAGAGGCATAAAAATGTGCATGCTCGTTCTATTCAGGAATTGATTTTCAGTCAAGGCAGAGAATTTGCATCTGCGCGAGAAATTCCCAAAAGGATTACGTGGGCCAGGATGCCACCTAGGATGATGCTTTAGTTGCAGGATTAGAAAAACCGGCCCATTGCGTTGCCTCATGTCAAGGCAACATGTCTGCAGCCTTGACACGAACGACTTTGCCAAAAACTATATAGTATTCTCCACTCTGAAGCCGAGGTTTTGTCTCTGCCTTTCTGTTTTATTGCACACTTTAGTATTTGAATGTGAATATCTTTGCCATGGTGATAACCAATGGATTTATTTTTAGGGCTGTGATTCCAGTAGAGCGAACGGTCCAGCTGAGCTGCTCAAAGGATAGACTTTTCCAGTATGTGATTTTAAAAAACATACTTGGCATTTGCCCCTCAACACATACATTTCAGGGATAAAGTGCTCATTATATTAATTTGAGCATTTGGTTGATTTTCTATTTGTAATGTGGAATAAAACCTGAAATTAATGTCACCACCACAAAAAGCATCCTCTGCTTGAAACACCTGCATATCTGTGTGTTTCCAGGTTAAGCAGACCCTGTACTGATGACAATGGGCCCAAAAGGTATTTCACACTAGAAATCAGAGAACAGGGCTGAAGTAAAAGGCAGGAGGCCCAGACCTTGCTGCTCACATAGGCTACTATACCAGTGAAGACACAAAGACAACCAAAAGCTACTCACTGGTACAAAACTCTGGTGGGTTTGACCATGTTAAATCTTCAAGACAAGTCCTGGTTGAATCCTGTCCTGGGACCCTGTCATACCCGTCGCGACAGACATAACGGACAGTGGTCCCCACGGCATAGAAGCTCCTCTTCACATCCTCTTCTGATACTTTACCAAATGGTAAGCCTCCTGGGGCAGGACAGCTACCTGACAGCAAACAACAGACAGACAAGGACCAAACGATGTAGCTGCAAGACGGATTTAAATACAGCTTGTGCTTTTAACTTTCTGCAGCGCAAACACGGGCAGGATGCTTCATGTGCTCCTGGCTCTGCAGCATGAGCCAAGCGTGCTGGACAAGTCTCAAGCTCCACAAACTCACTGGCTTGTTGCAAAGGCAGGTTAAACTGTCACGGAGGGATCATGGGGAAGGGATTTTTACTGTCCCGATAAAGGAAGAGACTCGAGTGATTTTGACAAAAGGAGCGAGGAGGGAGGTGGCATCCCAAGCACAAGTGACACGAAGGAAGGCGGAAAGCAGGACAGGAAGGGAGTTGAGTGAGAAGCAAGCCTGGGAAGAACAGAGCACACAGATATACTTCCTTTCTTGCCTTCAGCCCCTAAATTATCTGGACTTTCTGCTTGTAACTACTGCACAGCCTTCTTCTCCACGTCCACCTATAAACTTGCCCCGCAGCGCTACGTTACAGAAGAGAAAAGGCTACAACCCTCAAAGCCCAGGAAAACATTCACAAGAGAAATATCTGCTTTATGATCCACTTCTGCTGGTGTAAACTGTGTCTTCCTGAATGAAAACCAATCGTGACCAATTAGGCTGGGATGATCTAGTTGGGGCTAGTCCTGCTTTGAGTAGGGGACTGGACTAGCTGTGATCTCCTGAGGTCCCTTCAACCCTCATTTTCTGCGATTCTCCGATGCTGCCTCACGACACCTTTGCGAGTTCCCACTGAGTGCACTTTCCTGATGGTCTCATGCTTCAGCCTCTTCAAACTTTGCTTCTTTTAGGCTCTTCTGCCATCCCACCACCCTTCATTTTGATCCTCATGCACTGCTTACTTTCATAAATGGATAAGTAGCCCCATTTACTGCACTACATACTAGCCACGAAAACAAGTAATATGTCTCCAGCAAGCAGGTTCATTCTGTGTTCCCACTGCCATTCCCAGGACCTCAGATCTAACTATTAAAGCTGGTGTTGAGTAGACCTATTCAGCAGAGGAAGTTTCACAGTTTCAGAAGCAAGAAATGGCCAGAAAATTTCAGAAAGCAAAATAACACTTACGGCCACACAACTCCGGCAGGTTTGACCACTCAAGGCTGGCCAGGCACACTATGGTGTCTGACCTATCCGGGATTTTAAGAAAACCCTTCAGGCATTCGTAGGTGACCTTTGTGCCAATGGGGAAGCTCTCTGAGAGACCAGAATGGCTGAGCTTGGCTCTCTTGATAGTTGGCGGAGGCCCACATTGGACTGTAAGAAAAAAAACGCTCTCTTTAAAACTGGCAGTGCTTCATTTATACGTCGCACAGCTACCTTCATCCCAAAGGACCCCAATACGAATTGGATGCTGAAGCCATGCAACTCCCATTTTCGCCCTGCTTTTCCAGTGTCTGTGCAGGCAGACAGGCTTGCCACAGCCAAAGGTTTCCAACCAGCACCGCTGGGGGTCTGCACTGGAGTTTGCCTAGCAGGAGTGAGGCCAATCCTACTGCAGAGTACCAGAGCTGCACGGTGCAGCTGGCTCAGTAGCCCCAAGTGGCCAAGTGCCCACTGCAGGACCAGCTCAAGGGCCAGCCACACCCCGCCCTCCACCTCTACCTGCAGCCAGGTAGCTAGCCAGCATTTCAAGTCCTGCTTTGCCCCAGAACCCACAGACGCTGGGCTCAGAGGAACACAATAGTCGTCTCGCTCCCATCCACAAGCCCCAGGTTCACCTGGGCTCTCTTAGGGCTGCTTTTAGTTTAGACTTTGCATAAAGAAAGGAGCTTAGTGTCAGGAGAGATTAGCAGTCCACTCCTCCACATTGAGGCCTAGACAGGCATGCTACACCTCACACGCAGCAGCACCAAACCCATCAGACAAAGCAGGTGGCGTTAAAAGCCTTTACCTTGAAATTATGCCTTTTCTCTCCCAGAAACATTTCAAGTGCTGCCTCCTAACACATGAGGGAAAATACCATTGGACTACGGACTCATTTTATAAGTTGTTTCTACTTGCACAGATCACGTGTTGGCACAGGAGGCCAACCGTCCTGCGGTAGCCACTCAATAATATCCTACGTGCCACTTCAAACAGGTGAGTAGACAGCTAATACTCACGTGGGTCACAGATTGGCACAGAAGGCTTCCAGGTGTTATCCTCTGTGCATCGAATCACACCATCACCACCTCCCCTCAGGGAGTAGCCAGGATTGCACTCAAATGTTATTGTGTCTCCATAGGAATAGACAGCGACTGATCCAAACTTTTTTTTCCCATGTGGAACCACCGGGGCTGGACACTTCACCTCTGGAAATTAAAGCAACGTCAGTTGCTTGAAGCCATTTAAACTACATCCCAATTCACATTTAGGAGTTGAAACTCAGGGAACAGAATCAGGGAAGTGACCAACCTGCTGCCTGGTAGCTCTCAACTGCCTCAAGCTACCAGGTGCCCAGCTGAACAGCCCGTTCAGAATAAGGCAACATGGCCCATTTGCTTGCATGTTGCCTGAACCAGAACGTGTGCGCATGGCTCACTCCAGTCAAGAACCAGTTCTTGGGCACCTCCATTTCCCCCTTTCAAAACGGCAGTAAGGCTGTGACATGAACTCACTAAAGCTAAAGCCAGTCAAGCAGCATGCGGAGGGGGCAGGGGAAAAAACAAAACAAAACAGGGAAACATGGTTTTGACTAAAGCTATTCTTCCTTTTTTTCCTCTTTACTGCTTGAATAATAGGGCAATAGCAACAGGATCAGAATTCTTTTCCAGCTAAAAATCAGCTTTGGCTTAGGGAACCCAGGACTAGCTGCAGTGAACATTTCTCGTCATAAAGGGCCCATTCCCAGGCCAGGGAAATCACTGCAGTCATTTACCTATTAGAAATTATGTGGTTTCATTTAAGAGAAGGGTCTTTGATTAACACTGAAGAGACCAAAACTGCAGCAAATGCAAGAGGCAATCTGCTTCCCAGGACGCACACTGGTAATGCATCCGTCACTCTATGTGAATTAAGCTTCCCCATGGTACCTAGGTGCTTATTCCCTGACTGACTTCCTCAACATTTATGAGCTGTCTGCCTAATTAAATATGGGTTTTCCCTGGTGGAGAAAGGTGAACAAAGGCAACAAGAGCAAGATACAAAACACAAGAGTTACCTTTACACTGAGGGGCAGGGCTCCAGACACCACTGAGGTTATCTTCTGTGGTACAGAGAATGGAGGCCTCTCCAACCAGACTGAAACCACTCTTGCAAGTATAAGTCACTGAAGATCCGACGACATAGCCTTCCCCCTCACCAGAATGTGCTCCATTGGCGACTTCAGGGGGTGGCAGACAAGGGATTTCTATAGGAAAGTACACCAAGGTGAATATTGAATTAAAATACCCAGGTAACGGTGAACTGAGAAGATGTTACTAAGCAGGAAAGACTTCCATCAGCAGACCACCAAACAACTGGCTGCAATGGACTTGTTCTCATCAGAGTCTTGGAAGCAGTTTTGCTGAATACCTGCAATACTTGGACATGTTAGCTTATAAATTGAACATCACCAAGTGTGTGCCCAGATAAGTAGATCCTGGGAAACAGGGCAGATTGCTTACCCCAACCTTTCCTTTTTTTTTTTTTTTTGACTAGTAACGCACAGAGGTATAACACTGCACAATCTCACAGGGTTTCATTCAAGTGAAAAGGGCAGCATGAAATAAGATGAAAACACCAGAAAACCAACCAAAGGAAGCACGAGGAATAAGTCAGAAGTCAGAAACAGATGAGAACGAGAGACAAGCTATCCTGGAGGCAGTTTGTTTTCACACTTTCTATGCAAAGCAGGGAAACCGTAGCACTGCCCCGACAAGGGAAGTGTATTTCCACAGAGTCAAACGCAAGTAAAACAGGATGTGTAATAAGTCATTTTATGATCCTGGGGCCCCATGCTCCGGAAGCCTCTTTGTACTGATGTCTGAACTTCAGCCACCTAAACCCAAAGTGACATTTGGAAATGAAACTTAAATAAGAAAACAAGAACAAGGGGAAGCAAACGCGCACGCTTTATTGTGCAGCAACAAGAAAATGTTTATGCTGGGCTATTGCGTATAAAAGAATAAACCCCTGATTAGATGCTCCTCAAGTGTCCAAGAGAGTTGAACTAGTGCTTTAACTCCTTAACTAAACTCAAGCCATGTGCTCACTGCAAAAATAAGGCAGTTTTACATGTTAGCTGACAGCAGACTGTATAGCCTGCTGCTCAGTCATGGGCATTTTTCCATAGTGAAAACACTAGTCAGATCAATGGTCCATCTAGTCCAGTATTTCTGTCTCCAACAAAAGCAGAAATAGATGCTATCGAGGGACAGCTTTGAACCAGATCTCTCCAGAGTGATTACCCTCTCTGGCATCCCATCATTATTGGTTTAGAGATGCTAGACAACACCACTCCAACCATGCTGTTCAACAGCCGCTAATAGATCTATCATCCCTGAATTTATTCATGCCCTTTTTGAACCTGGCTATGCTGTCTGCTTCTCTCTCTATCTGTTCTTATCCCAAATGATGTAAAGGTGGCCTGCAGATCAATTGAGACAGAACAGCAGAGATACTAACCCACACAAAACTCGGAGGGTTGTGACCAGGTAGAGTTATCTTGACAAGTAATGACAGGAGACTTTCCACCAACACGAATGAAACCTGGCCGACAGCGATAGGTCACTTCAGTCCCAATGTGATAGGAATCCAAACTTGTGACTAGCTCAGCAAAACTTAATGTGGGTGGGAGTCCACAATCTCCTAGGAATAAAAGAGAAAAAAGGATGAAAAACTAATCTATGAAAAAGTACGCAAAATTATCTGCTTCAGTAGAACACAACTTGGTTTTGCAAAGCCACATTTTCTCTCTTCTGCAAACGCTGCGACGGACTTGTTCTCATCAGAGTCTTGGAAGCAGTTTTGCTGAATACCTGCAATACTTGGACATTTTAGCTTATAAAGTGAACATCACCAAGTGTGCGCCCAGATAAGCAGATTCTGGGAAACAAGGCAGATTGCTTACCCCAACATTTTCTTTCCTTTTTTTTAAAACTCGTAACACACAGAGCTATAACAGTGCACAATCTCACAGGATTTCTTTCTAATGAAAAGGGCAGCATGAAATAAGATGAAAACACCAGAAAACCAACCAAAGGAAGCACGAGGAGCAAGTCACAAGTTAGAAACAGATGAGAACGAGAGACAAGCTGTCTTGGAGGCAGTTTGTTTTCATACTTGCTATGCAACACAGGGCAACTGTAGCACTGCCCCGACAAGGGAAGTGTATTTCCACAGAGTCAAACCCAAGTAAAAGAGGTTGTGTAAGAAATCACTTTATGATCCTGGGGTCTCATGCCCGGACGCCTCTTTGTACTGATGTTTGTCAAACACAGCTTTAGGCTGGATTGAACTTCAGCCACCTAAACCCAAAGTGACATTTGGAAATGAAACTTAAATAAGAAAACAAGAACAAGGGGAAGCAAACGCGCACGCTTTATTGTGCAGCAACAAGAAAATGTTTATGCTGGGCTATTGCGTATAAAAGAATAAACCCCTGATTAGATGCTCCTCAAGTGTCCAAGAGAGTTGAGCTAGTGCTTTAACTCCTTAACTAAACTCAAGTCATGTGCTCACTGCAAAAATAAGGCAGTTTTACATGTTAGCTGACAGCAGACTGTAGAGCCCACTGCTCAGTCATGGGCATTTTTCCACAAAGTGACTATAATCTCCTGGGACAGAGAACAGGGTTGAGCTAAACTACCTACAGCGAGGTGAGCCGCACCCCCCGTACCCTTTCTCCACTATCCCTATCCATTATTTCCCCACCCAAAAAAGCAGTGCAATACATTTTTAGGAATGTCACCATAACAGGCAATTTAACTTTAGGACCTATTCTGTTACTCCGTTTCCTGCCTCAGCGATTATCCAAGTAAAGGAAGTGAGCTTTGACTAGCTAAAACCCCTTTTTTGGATTGCCCAATGCCACTTTCCTGTGACCATAATGAAAAAGCTGAGACCTGTCACTTCTTGTTCAGAAGATTCAATGCTACATCGTTTATGGATGCATCATTTATAAGCGGTGCCCAAATTAGGGACTAAAGTTTGCTTGGTTATACCAACTAGATACTTATTAGGTCAGCCTGAAGGAGACACTCTGCGACCATTCTCAGTAGATTGGTGCTGGCAGAGCCAGAGCTATTTTTTCTGGGCAAAACTTCAAAATACTGCACTTCCACCTGGGGTGTGCACATGTAAAAGCCAACCCAGAGCAAATCGGGCTGCAATCATTGCTCTCGTAGCACAGGGACACTCGGGCCCCTGTTGCACATTACATACATTATGCAAGTCACCAGCAAACCACGCAGTATATTTTGACCTCGCCACACGTACACAGTTAAGCCGGCCACATAGGCAAAGTGATGATCACACAAGTCCCTGCTGAATGGCCCAGTAAATTTACACCGGCCACCGGTGCAAAAGTAATGATCAAAAATGCCTGCAGCTATCAAAAGGACCAACCCCTGCTATAAAGTCAGTGCTTAAAAGCGGCAAGGTTTCATTGTTTCTAGGGACCTGAACAGATCATCAAGTCTGATTCCCTGCCCTGGGCAGGAACGAGTGCTGGGATCATAATAGCCCAGCCAGGTATCCACCCAACCTCCTCTTGAAGGAGTTCTTCGAGTAGATGCGATATCTTTTATTACACCAACTGAGTAGCTGGAAAAAAGTTCTTAGCAAGCTTTCACCCTACTGCAGGCATCGGGTCTTTTATCTTCTCTCATTCCTTTTCCCCAGCTACTCAGTTGGTCTAATAAAAGATATCACATCTACCCGAGGAACCTTGCCCCCCTACAACACGGCGACAGCCAAGAACCCAGCGTGCTTAAAAAAAAGTGCAACAACCCTGGAGCCAGTTTCTCTGCGGCTTGCATTTGAGGGTCCCGGATGACTTAAGAATCCGCATGAAAAAGGCCAAGTCCCGCCATTAAAACAAACTCTGCCTGGCTCCGCGCCCGGCCTGCGGCTCCCGA